CTGAATCTTGCTGTTCTGTTCCTCCAGGTTGATCCTTACCTGCCCTATGAGTATACATCTGAAGGGATGCTGGAGCGAATCCATGCCTACATTCAGTACCAGGTAGCTAATCTTTTTGTCCCGTGCTCATTTGATAGCCTAGAATGTTATTTGCTTTCAGTTGTGCAGTAACAACACACCTTGGCAATACTACTTACTTTTATAATAGTGTGTAGATTTAGCAGTTTTGCAAAGGGGGGAAAGGGAGGAAGGGGTGCTTTTCCTCTTCACTCCTTCTTCAAGTCACAAATATGGTGAACAAATATGAATCTTGGGTGGAAAGATGGAGGAGAATCATCATCATACATTCTGTCTCAGAATGATCGGTGGAATTGAATTATCTCAAAGATGCCTGTCCCAGCTTTCAGTGAGAAATATACAACTCCCATATCCCAACTACTGGTCATGGGTATTGTAGTCCTGCTTAATCTGGGATTAGGAAAAACTGCCTTATAGGACTATTTATGTCTGAGTTTTATCTCTAGAAACATAAGTTTCATCTGTTTTTACATGATTGGGCTCTCCCACTTTCCTGTATCTCTGCTGCAGTTACTGCCATCATCACCCCTTTTCCCTCCGTTTATTAACTAATAATGTGATAAGCTTCAGTACCTTAGTGTAACACCATTCTGCTACTCCAGTAATCACAAATATTTAGTTACAGGGTATCTAAATGCTTTTGTTTGAACAAGTCCTGGTCATGCTCTTTTTCAACATGTCTGTCTGTTTTTGTCCCCCTGTCCTGAAAGGACTTCTGTGCCACAGTTGCCCTGCCAGACAAGTCCAATGGCTACACTATGCAAAGCTCCACAAGCCCGTTCAGCCTGCAAACCAACGCCACTTCCCTGGTGTGGTCCCGCAATGCCAGCAGCAGCCCTACCACCTGGCCCCCGGTCCACTCAATGCAGGTGTGGTTATCAGACATCGGTCAGGCATGCACCAGCACTTGTCAACAGCATGGCTTGGTCTGTGAGCCGGAGTTTTTCAAGTTCATCAACAAGAAGGAGGTCTTTCAGCAGTAAGTCTTTCCTCTTGACCCATCGTTTCCTTGTTCCTCCTGGGATCTCTTTCCCCCTGCCTTCTTTATGTAACACTTATAGTGTCAATTATCAGTCCATGCATTTATATTTTGAAGCTTCGGGGCAAAACTGGTAAAGTTCACATTTTATCTCCCTCTGAACTGATGCCGACTTTTGACATTTAGAGATGATTACATAGGAGACTGGCATTTTTATGCCACACATGGAATCATACAGCAGAATTTGTGTTGAAGAAATGCTGAACCTGTCCCAGAAGTGGATGTTTGCTTCTAAACTTCACTTTCCAGCTTTTTCAGTCTGAAATTTAAAGCCAGGTGTTGTTCAGTGGGAACCTGACATTTTGTAAGGGCTTAGTATTTTTTTCTTAATTAACTTTGATTTTTTTAATTTATTTTTTTTTATATTCCTTTTCATCAGCACTCATTCATGGCCCCAAGAAAGGGAAATCACTGATCACACAAAACCAGGCAGCGGGGGCACTAAATCCTCAACTTAAATGCTTTTTGTGTTCCTAACCTGTTTGAGCAAATGGGTGGGCAGAAGGCACTGGGGATCTCCTGGATGATCTCTGGACAACAATGCAGTAGATTGCCAAGGATTTCCAATTCCCAGCTAGTTGTTCATGAATTGCAGCAACAAAATGACCTTCTCACTGACTGGGCTGCTGAAAGAAAGAAAAGCTTGGAGGC